AACAGACCTAGTGAATTAAGATTTTTTGGCAGCGAGATGCGAGATGGTAACGGGAAAAAAATGCAGTAAGCCCATATATTAAATTGTTGTAATAACGTCATTGGTGATTATGGAATAAAGCAGACCTAACAAACAAACTTAATCAATGGGAAACCAGATATTTAGCCCTTTCTCGAATCGGCATCGCGGCAGATGATACGGTTCGTTTATCCGTACGGCGGTTTTCTGTGACTGTTTCCTTGTTGTTTATCATAAATTAGGTACAGCTGTAATCAAAAGTAAAACTGGGTTATGTCAGACGATTTTTTAGGTCATTAACTATCTGGGAGAAAAGTAGCAATTATAGTTAGATTTCTTTACCTTGGTAACCACTTTTTTCAGTATTAAATGTGCTTTCCATATCGCCTTGTAGATATTGTCATTTATTTACTGAAATGTATCATGAACGGCGATCATCTGTATCCGTGGTTTATAAAAGAAAGGGAAAAAGTCCAAAAAAGGAAACGGAAATATCAAGAAAACAGAACAAACAAACAAACTTTATGCCAAAATTTAGATCATCTAGCAAGGTAAACTTAAACTTGAAAAGATAAACCTCCGGTATGAAACGGGGACCATTTCGTACAAGTACTTGCTGCAATCTGAATTGTCGATCAGACAAGATGACAACGCATTTCATTACCCTTTCCGCATAAAAGATTTCAATACGTCATCTGCTACATCTGCTGTCGGTTATATTTTTATTTTCTTCAACCCCGCTTTAATAGACTACGAGTAGTCCCCCATTTTTCCTCAGGGATAGTAGGGCGAGCGAAACGCGAGCGCGCGTGAAAATCACCCCACGCGAGAAAAGGCGACACGCGCTCTCCCCGCCGCGTGTCGTCTTTTCTCGCATGGGGTGATTTTCACGCGCGCTCGCGTTCCGCTCGCGTTTCGCTCGCCCTACTATCCCTGAGGAAAAATGGGGGACTACTCGTAGTCTACGCTTTAAACACTCGTCGTCGGTATTATCACGTTTGTAGCTAAACAACCTAATTAAATATTGGACTAGGATATTGGCTCTCGAGTATGCGGGGACCGCTTTGAGGTTCACTTAGTGAGAACAATGTGTGTCGAAAAGTGTCTTTATCAGTTGTTACATCGGCTTTTGCTATTAGCAATCAATTTGGAGAGCTATTAAGCAATCAATTTGGAGGGCATTGTTTGAGGCAATGACTCCGAATGTAGCATAAAAAGAGCTTGCAACAACGTACTAGCCGTCTGACGGAATTGTAGAAAGCAGTACGTTTCTGATCCAGTAATAAGGCTGTTGGCAAGTTTTCGAGCATCAGATTTTCGATCGAATTCAAGAAACAGGTATTTTGTAACTAATCTGTACAAAACTACAAAACGAAAGACTACTTGAGCATCATGAGATCTAAGTAATCTGATTTTCGTTTAGGACGGGAGCATATTTATGACTTGTTCAGTGTGCAAGATGTTCCTTTTTCATGGGCACACGCTACATTTTAATTATTCTTGAAATATCAGAATATCACAAAATTGATGACATGAAAATCCACTCGAGACAATTCTTTTTTTTTTTTGTCAATTCCATCGTTAATAATAATAATACTAATATTAACAGCAATTTCTATTAATCATTTATAAAAATAAAAGCAATTCGTGAGTTCATTTTTTTATAAATTTATATTTTTTTTAAGATCAAAGGAGTGAGTAGTAATCAAAGCTCCATTCTTTTTTTCAGTTTTTGTGCCGGCGGATATAGAGGTCGATGCTGCAGAACGTGGAAAATAGGATGTGTTTCTCAAGGTAACTACATTTAGTAATACGTAATTTTTCAGTTTTATCAAAACACTGCAAGAGGTCATTTTCTTCCCGTTTTTGTTTTTGTTTTTGTTTTGTTTGTTTGTTTGTTTTTTTTTAAGGGTCGTGATAGCAAGAATAAATAGCATGAATTTCCAGCGCAATTTTGCATGATTAAGTTTAACAAAATATATGTCGGCAATGAGACTGTAGTAGACGTGTTCATGTTTTCTTCAAAGAATGCTTCTTTGAGTCTCCTCGAAACATGTATGATGACTTCTTAAACCTCCTACTTGAAGAATTTGAACGTATTGAAAAATATAAATTGTAACATATTAATAACTCTTCCTCCATGTGGTAAAATACTTGACTGTGGAAAAGAATGGAAAGTTTACCGAAGCCGAGGCATCTAAATAGGCCGGTGCCGGTAACAAATGGAATTTAACCCTTTTCGCACGGCTAGGGTCGTTTTCATCCCCATATGGAACGATGTATACATTCCTCTCTGGACCCTTTTAGCTTTCAGTTTTAGTAAATAAATTGGTAAGCAAAAACGTCACCAAAGATAGATCTTTCCAGCGATACCTCGTTTTGGATATTCTGACCAATCCCGACAGAGTTACGCTCACAAAAAAGGTAACATTTTGGAGGAAAAATCCACTGTCAATTTCGCTGTTTAAATATCTACATACTACTCTTTGAAAATTAAATTTGTCCCTTTCCTAAAACGTTAGCCAGCCACAATTCCATGCAGACGAAAGACGATAAAGTGGGCAACCAAACCGCAAATAAAGAAAAAAAGGCAAAGGAAAAAAGAGAGCGAGAGAGAAAGATCGAAAGAGATTCGTAAAACAAAACAAACAAAAAAACATTCAAATCTTGGCCTTTGCGCGTGCGTGAATAACAAAAACACTGTTTAATTAAGTCAGATTAGTCGGAAGATATGCCTTTTTTCTTGCAAAACTCATTTTTAGCCATTCTTATGCTAACTAGCCGAAAACCAGTCAAAAGAAGACGAACTGATGAAAAAATGCGGGTTTTTTTTGGCTACTCGCCGGCAGTCATAAAAGGGTTAAAGAAAGTTACCAATTTGTTTCAAACTGGCCTTTATCCACGTAAAACAGTCAAATTTGCCAAATTCAGCAAGAAACAGGTTTGCAATGTGAAAAAGAAGCAATTGCAATGTTTATTGTTATTAAGGCCTTAAATTCGTGAGGAACAAGGCAAGTGACCGCATCAAAGTGTTAATTGCTTATATCCTGCACTTCGTAAGGGGAATTAAAAATTTTTATAAATATTTTGTATAATACTAAGAATGTCCTTTTATTTCACTCGGGTTATATCTTTTAAAACAGCTGCAAAAGCATTGAAGACACGGCACTGATACCACGGTCCCGTTAGATAAAGAAAGTGGCTCTGTCCTCATATCAATTAGCGCAGCAACTTTGCTCGCACAGCTAGCCGTCCCTTGCGGGGAACTGGACACTCGCCTGGTGGTAAATTACTGCGGCCCACAATACACTGTTTTCAGTATAGTGTAATGTGTAACTCCCTCAAAGCGGACTGAGGAGTATCACTGTTGAACAGTTTTATAAGTGTTCGCTGATTTTATGGGTCTGGAAAATCTGCGTGCCAGCGAGCCACGCGACAGCGAGCCATGCGTCCGCGAGCCATGGGAAGAATGAAGTCTTCATAAATGAAAAATGTTTCCTGCTTAGTTTCCTATGGATACTGATGTAAGTTGGTTGCTGCAGCTAAAATATTTGTAGAATTAAGCAGTCTTTGTCAAATTCAAGTTAATAGGGTTAATACCACTTTAAAGGTTAAGCGCTGGCTAGGGTTAAACACTTATTCGTAACGGTTAGCATTCAGTTATTGTTTTCTGTATCGCTGTGGCTACAGTAAAAACCCACGAGTAAGAACCTGAAAATTAAGAACCTGTTAGCCTAAAATTTGCCATTTATACCCCCTATAAACAAGAACCTGTTTAGCCTAGAAAATGAAAAACATATTAGTGAAATGCAACTGCAAAGCTGTGTAAGAATCCTGTTTGTAGAAGTAGGAGCTTGGCATTGCTGTGCAAATAAAAGTGCAAGAGGTTAATATTGTTGTATTGCATTTTGAAATTGAAAAATAGGCTGATTACCATCTTGTTTTGGAGCTTGTTTTTTTTTTTTTTTTTTAAGAAAAAAGAACCTATTTAAGAACCTAAATAGCTTAAAATTGTGTTAACTACCATTTAAATAAGAACCTGTTTAGGCTAACTCCAGGAAATGTAGGTTCTTACTCGCGGGTTTTTACTGTTGAAAACACTAAACAAATGACTAAATGACCGGCAGTCTTATATTCTCGGTAAATTTCACAAAATCGAAAAATTCCAGCTAACCTAAACTATTATATGTCGATTAAGAAAAGACAACCGATCCTGAAATGCTTCATAGATCTCAAGAATAGCGTTTGGTTTTACGATGGGCTCAGAAGACGAAAGAGAGAATATAGGGACTGCCGGTCATTTAATGTTTTCAACACCCTGACCGCGGGCAGTCAAGCTAAAAAAAGTTTTAAGTGTCACAAAACATGGTTTCGCTTTCTGAGCCCAGCGTAAACCAAACGCTATTTTTGCTCAGAGATCTATAAAGCATTTCAGGATCGCTTGACTTTTAATCGACATATGATAGTTTGGCTGGTTTGGTTTAGCTGGATTTTTTCGGTTTGTGAAATTTTTTACTGAGAATATAGGACTGCCGGTCATTTAGTGTTTTGAAAACCTTGACCGGTTACTGGCCACATAGCCACAGCGTTTCTGTATTACTGTATTTTGACTTTTTTCGTAATTTTTTCCCATTCCTGACATGGCTCGCACTGTGTCCTAAAAAAGTTTGGACCATCTTTATACCATTAGAGCCTGGATTCGTTCTTGTAAACACCTATACGTAGTACTGTATTCAATGAATTGAAAAAAGCTAAACGGATACAACGACCAGAAGGCCTCTACTGCAAAAAAAAAAAAAGTAAATCTGAACCTACCTTCTTTCGTTTTCAGATTTCTTTTCGGTATTATTCTGATTATTGCCACTTTTGAATTGCGCCAAGCAGCGTCCTCTGCTATGTCCGCTAAACAAACGTTGGACGCATTTAAGCTAACAGATGGCTGCGACGCCCTCAAGGACCGGCTGCGATGTTTCCAGCATGAA